ATTGTTAAGGACTTTATCCGCAAGGGCGCGATCAAATAAAAAAAAAACCCTATCCGCCCCAAAATTTTGCGGCCCTTAACGCCCCCACCCCCCCCCCCCCCCTCCAAAATCGATTTTCAACATGGTGCATGGAATCTTCATAAAACTTTTTACAGATGCTTGACCCAAGGTACAAGTGTAAAAAAATTTTCATGGCTCTAGCTCTTTCGGTTCGAGAGATATACAGGTGCCAAGGTGCAAAATGGGGGGCCCACGCGTACAAGGATTTTTGGGCTGGTCTCATTGAAAGAGAACTCCTTGGTGCTTCAGATGAGGGAAAGAGTTGTTTTAATTTTGATGTTTTTTCTTTGGTGGAATCTACAAAACTTTGAAGTTCTGAAAACCTTATGTAAGATTTTTCATAAAATACCTGACTGCTCATAGATTGAGAGTTAAATAAAAGGTTCCTTCGCGTCATCTAAAGAAAGATATATCTATCTATCAAATAAAAAGAACCGCAGTTTAATAGAATAAACTACAGTGAAGAAGGCCTTAAGTATCTTTCAACCTGTCACTTATTTATCACTTATTGAAATCAAGAAAATCGACATATATCGTTGCTGACAAATTTGTTCAGAATTGTCAGGGCTATCACATACTAGCGGTTCAATCCGACCATATGAATATTTTGAATATAAACGGTCTTGTATTATAAGCGATAAAATTTGATGAAAAATCCACTGGTATCTAGAGATTTTAGTCAATAAAATCGTATTTTCAAGCAAAATGAATATGATATTTGACATCAGCTCAAAAAACTACACCGATTAGCTTTGAGAATAAGAGAAAATTTTTTTAACCAGAATTCGACCTTGGAAGGACCACAACTAAAAGTGTCTCAAAAACAGTTGAGGGGGGGAGTAGGGCGATCCAGTTTCGGTGAAAATTTGTTTTCGTAATCTCAAAACTATTCGATGTAGTTTTCTGGGCTGACACCGAATATCATATTCGTTTTGCTTGAACACACGATCTTACTGACAAAACTCTCTGTATCAAAATAATCATACGGATGCCATAGTTCTCCATCGAATATATTTTGGATATTAATACAGTATTCATTTCATATGTAAAACATTTCCTCTGTACAGGATAATCGAAAACTTTTTCTATAGAATCTATTTTATCTGTTCGTAATTATTCTGTAATGAATCATCATCAATACTTTTTATAACATCTACTTTTGTTTTTCTCTCTGTTTCTGTTTCAACATGGTTATGCATTTACGATGTTTGCTCTTGTCTTCGTGTAACAGAGTGGAAAAAATATGTGTGATATATGATTTTCTGCTTTTTGTTAACGTCAGTTTACCAAGACATGCATTTTATTCCTCCTATGAAAAAAGTTAGTAAGCCTTTCATTTAATAATCCACAATTTCTTGAACAGACTCACATTCAGTGTAATCAGTAATATCTGTTCAGATATTTTTCTATTTTTTTATTGTCAATAAATTTGAACAAAACAAGAATGTATAAAACAGTAAAAATAAACGATATTGAACCAGAAAAAGATGTTTTAATAACCAACCATTATCAATGGATGACAGTTATTGGATCAACAAAATTCATAATTCTCACTCAGGAGAGTCACTTGATAAATATCAAGTACAATATCAAATATCTAATTCGAACTTTAACAATTATTCAAAAAATGCTGTACTTCACTCGTTTATGTCGGCTTACAATAATCATGAAGACATAGTGCTCTCACCTGATGATTTATGGTTAATGATTTCGATTTATTTTTCAAAATATGTCAACGATAATGCTGATCAATTACGCCATTTATTTGTTGATCATAAAGAAAAGAAAAAGTTAGTAGTTACAGAACCGCCGGGTAAACGAGATGAAGATTGGATCGATTTTTTTTGTATGATGAAAGAAGAAATATCAAAAAATGTAAAAAGTGTTGATATTATTGATCACTTATTATTAAATTTTTCAAAAACTACACAAATTGAATCAATTTTGTCTTATGCCCGTATAATGGATACGTTTAAAGCTTAATTTTCTTATAGACGAGGTATTCCAGATTGCGGAATAAGAGCTGTACATTTTCAGGATATGTGATGGCAACATTTGATGTTGAATCTAATTGTTTAAATGCATGCTATTTTATTGTCGTTAAAAAGATACATTCGACGATTGGCATTTATTGAAACATAAGACCGAACAACTGAAAATGTATACCAAAATT